ACCAGATTAGCACTAACTACAATGGATACAATATTTATCGCATCATAATTAGTTCAAATATGTTAAAGTCTGATTGTTTTTTGCATGATCATTTACTATTAAAATCTTTGATTTTAAATCAAAATGCTGTAAAGTTCCACAGCATTTGAATAAACCGTGTTATAAACGCAGAATATGGATGAACTTTATCCTATCTGAGTAGCAACCAAGATTAGAAGTGAGAAATCATTTACTCTGAGAAGTCCTATTTTATGCATTTTAAACGAAACACAATGTAGCAAAATGGACGCGCTAAAGAACTTTCGGTACTTTTCCGTTTCACCGGCGCAAATCTCGCCAAGCAGACTTTATTAGCGACAACATGCAGTATACACATTAAAAAATGTTTAAGAAAATGTTTAACAATTTAAAAATTCTGAGAATTTTTTAATTTTGAAGGCAATAAACCATTTTAATATCGTTTTAAAATTTTGTAAAAGGACCAATAAACAAAGACAATAAATTTGCAAAAAAAGACATTAATTTAAGAATTTACCATGCTTTCATGGTTCAACATCCTGATTCGCCGGTTCATATCACGTGACCCCAAGAGATCTCATCTCACGTAACCTACATTACAAAAATCTAATTCTCTCAGTAATTAGCTACATTAATTTCAAGTTAAATCTTAATTTGGAATGAAATTTAAATGAAGTTTAAATGCAAGAATTATTTCAATTCGTATGAATAGCTTACTCAGAAATTATGCGAAACCGCCGTGCTTTACTTCGTTTCATTAGAATTGATTAATTTAACCCTTGACTTTGCCTTTTCTATATTTTCGCCTTTGGGTGAGCGGTGTGATTGCATCTTAATTGACTTAATTACCGCGAATGGGCTTAGGGCATAAAATTGAACTATCTGGTAAAATTTCTATGTAATTGTATGCCAGTATTGAAAGAAACAATCAATCTGATAAGAAAGGGCTGCGTAAAAGGTTGCCAGCAAGGATATCCTGTTTAGCATCAGTTGTACCATTACTGGCGACCTTATCGCCTGCGCCGGCAAAACGGAAAAGTACCGAACTTTCTTTAACTTAAAAAGACTCCAATTCTAAATATGAGCACTTGGAGTATATACAATATTCTTCGGCAGTATAGTTAAATATTCTGAAAATTGGTCAAACAAGAAATTCCTTCAGATTTCATGAAAGCATGAGACTTAATGCTCTGAAGAGCAAATAATAATAATAATAATAATATATCGTAAATTCACCAATGGTCATCAATGCTGGCCAAAAAATTCCCTTTCTTTCCTTCTCTGCAGCCAAATTATTTAAAACATTTCTTCGGTGGGTGAATTTCACATTCATAAAAATCTTTTGGTTCTTGTTAATCCTTCTTCACTATCACCTTTTCAAAAATTAGTTTTAGTTGCTTTCCTTTCACTTTTCAGTTAAAACATGGCACCAAAAACCTTCTTTTCATATCATTTAGCTAGAATTTTCTCTAATTTTTATATGTTACTCTCGTGAATGCACGTGTTTCTTTTCCATCATTTCAATTCCACATCTACGAACACTTTGCGAAGGGTAATGTGAGGGAAACTGACTCATGTAACGAGCAAAAAAAAAAAAAAAAAAGCACGAAAACCAATCATGCAGTTTTCCCGTTCGCCTGAGTTCGAACCCAAACCAGATCGAAATTTGTGTGTAACGAATATTTTTTTTTTTATATTTAGCTTATTAAAACATAAAGAACATTTTTTTACTAATTGGGGCTTTTGCGCTGACTCGCGAGCTGCACAACATTGGGTGTATTTTGAACCGCTTGAAAAAATAAAATGCTATTAGTCACATATAAAACTTAATATATAAATGGGACGCTCAGGCGGTATACTGTTAGTGACCGAAATGCCGTCGCATGGACCTCAATCAGAGTTATGTCCATGCGACGGAAAAGAATCCACCATCCACCGCCGGCGGCATTCATTGAATCAATGATAGTAATATTACAATGTTAAATTGACAATGTCACCTTTACAATAATTGTTACATAAATAATCCGTATGAAAAATAAATATACAATCAATTAATCATTACATTGTCATGGATAGGATCTATACTGTGGAGAGTGAAACTTATATATTAACCAGTCTCTAAACCTATGTCTACTTCAATAAGTTCATGTTCTTATGTGTGTCCGTACTATTGTTTCAATTATCCACAGAGTCAGAGTAGGCCAGTCACATCAGTTCAGACAGTTGATAGTTCCATAGCCCAAAGTTTATGATGTTGTGTAGACTATTCTATGTTCATATAAACTGGATTCTAAGTTAACTTTTGATAAATTCGAAGTACACTTTTGTTAAGTTCATTGTTCTCGTAAACACTTGTCCACTTCGATATGGCATAACTTCGTATCCTTAACAGTTTGCACACCTCATTGTGTGTGTCCATAGCAATTTGCACCCTGTGTCGCAGTTATCCACAAAGCAATCAAGAAATTGCAGTTGGGAAGTTCATAGTAATATGTACACTATTTTACTATTAGCCACAGAAGCAAATGTTTCGTAAATAATCACTTGGCTCCCAGATGATTAAAAAAAAGGGGGGGGTGAGGAAAGGAAACTAATTCTTAAATTTTTTCAATACAATTCTAAATTGTGCAAAACGACAGATTTGCTGTACGATTCCAATCTAAAACTCATTAGTATTCCAACAATACAAAGCACATATTCTAAAAAATGCTATTATTTATTCCATTACATGTATCTAATTGTGTTTATAAAAAGGCTACAATAATACACAATTTCTTCAAGTAGTTAAAAACGTCTACTGTAAAACAGAAACTAATTCCCAATTATAATAGACATAAAATACATTATTATTCAGTACATATTATTTACCAATCGATCATACCATAAAAATACACACGTTTTAAATGCTGCAACTAATTTTTCATTGCAGTTAGAATATTTACCAAGCAATCATACTACAAATGTACATGTTAAAAAAAAACTGCAACTAATTTTTTATTACAGTTAAGGTAATAAATTTTTACTATACAATTCTAAATAGTACAATTAAACAATTCCAATCTATGCAAATTGACAGGTATTCCTACAATATAAGAGCACATATTCAAATATAGCTATAATAGTGTCCAATTTCTTCAAATAATTAAAAACATCTACGGAAGAATAGCAATCAATTTCCAATTGTAACAAACATGAAATACAAAAATTATTCAGTACATATTATATACCAATCAATTATACCATATAAACGCATATGTTTCAAATGCTGCAACTAATTTTTCATTACAGTTAGTATAGCTACCAATTCATCATACTATATAAATGCACGTTTCAAATACGGCAACCAAGTTTTCATTACAGTTAGTATATTCCAATTTGCCAGCTAATAAAATGAATCAGCTCTAAGTTGAATTGGCTGTAATAGTTCACAATGCTTAAAATAGTTAAGAACATCTACTGGAAAACAGGAACTTATACCCAAGTGTGATGAACATGATATACAGAAGTTATTCTGTACTGGCTGTTATAATTCCAGATCCTATAAAAGGCTAAAACATCCTCAGATGTTTATTCTTATGTGCAAATACGAAACACTAAACTCTCCATCAAATATAGAAAAGACATTTACCAATTCTATCAAAACTCAATAGACCTAAATATTTCATACATTTAATTATAACTTTAATAACAAGGAAGCATTATAACCGACAAAATAATTAGATACAGTTCTAAATTCCTGTTCTTATTTAAAATGCACATATTCCAAGAACTGTAATGAACTTTTTATCACAGTCAGAATACTCCAGTTCACCAGCAAACATTAATTGTAATTATAATAATGCAAAAATAATAATAAAAAGAACAACATAATAATTATAAAATACCAAAAATATTCATAATTAAAAGCTATAATATTAACATACAAAGAGACAATTCTCAAGTGCCTCAATAAGTTATAAATACCCACAGAACTTATTTCCATGTGGAATTGCAGAGCATATCCAGTACTTAATAGTCCTAAATATTTCTATGAAGTTAAACACACAATTATAATTACAATATGTCAAATAGAAAAAAAAAATTTTAAAGGAGTAGTTCATGCTACCCATAGTGCAAATAGTATTATGCGAAGGTTGTTGGAAATGTATACATTTCATTGCAAATATTAAAAATTTGAGTTAATCTGTGCTGAAGAGTTTGTCGTTTTAATAGTGTTTTAGTCTATTTAGTCTAGTATAAGTCTGATGGTCTTTGCAAATGAAATTCAACGGTGAGTGGGCAAGAAGGAGCAAAATGGTCTGGAGACCAAATACTTCCACACTGACATTTGTCATCTTCCTTCAGATGAAATCGGAATAAAAACGAGGGAAAGAGGCCTTGTCCCGTGAGATGGTTGACTGCGCTGTAGGATGAAACCAAAAATGTTTCCGAGACCTTTGGCAAAAATTTAAAAGTTAGTTCTGCCCGTTGTAGAGTGTTCCCCCCCTTTTTTTTGCCACGAGGAAAAAAAAAAAAAAAAAAAAAAAAAAAAACGGACGTTGTAAAGGACAGGCGGATTTCTTTACGAGAGTTATAAAGAACGTTAGATTTCAGATAATTTGCTCATCTACAATGTCGAAATAGTTTTCAAGAAATTCTCTACCTAGTTTTAAGAAATTTTTAACCGTAAGGCAGATTTAAGATCAATTTTTAAAGAAATAAATTCTAGTAGCCACTTTTTTAAACATCATATAAATAATTCACTACGCAAGAATTTATTTTTTAAGAGTAAAAAATTATGAAACAATTGCTTAAGCTCTACGAAGTTAAATTGCTATTAAATTTAAATAGCAATGCTTTCCCTTCTAAATGGCAAGTCCAGAAATCATTTATCTTGTTATTTAAGTTATATAGCTTTATAGATAAATGCTTAATATATTTTTCGAAGGCTTATTTCTAAAACATGGATTAATGCTTTTTTATTGACATAAATTGATATGCAGTTTGTTCCAAGTCGGTTGTCAGCTGGCTCCTGGCTGCTTTCTTGGTGGCTCTTATCGTCGTCTTGACCGTCCAGTTTTTGTACCCTGCTGTCGAAAAGAGAGTTCAGTCTGAAATTCAGAACTTCAATGTTTATGAAGATAACCCAATTGAAGTCAATCTTATGTCTCAAAGTTATCCTTCTTCTAAAGAAACATCGTCGGAAAAAAAAGGAGCGAAGGTAAGAAGTGGAACTAAATATGATCATTTACAAAAGTAACAGAATGATGACAACTTACATGCATATTTAAATTTTTAATTTTATGGATTTTGTAACATATCTGATCAGTTCTTCATATTGTGTAGTAAATATAGTAAATACAGAGTGTGAATTACAGTGCGCAGAGAGACAAATGTATGCTGTACAAATTAAAAAGAATTCATCACTATCTCACTGCTAGAACAGTGTCTGTTGCATAAACTAAAATTTTGTTTCGTTTTGCTTTGCTTTTTGCTTGCTGTTTTTATTTCGGCAAGTATTAAAACTATTTCTCTTAAAAAATAGGCATTTTCAGAAGTTTAATTTCATATCCTGTAACATTATCTGTGGAGTTTTATTATGTTATCTATAATAATAGAAGAATTTATCTCACAAAAGCTCTTGTTAAGTTAAAAAAGGATTTCTAATATTAATTTTTATTAAAAAAATTAAATTTATAATTGAGTTTTATATTTATTATATGCTAATAAAATAAAACAATAATACTTCTTTGCTTATCAAATGAAATACCCATAAAGCATACAAGAGCCTGAGGTGAGGAGAACTTTCAAGGCTAATTTAGTTCAAAGTAAGGAAAGTATCAAAACACTCACACCGCCAAATTCCATTCGCTAAGATTCGAATCTCGGATGAGCTACTACAATTTTTACCCGTGTAGAATATTAAGGGAATTTGCAAGTTATGTCTGTTTTATGACAAGTATTGAGCTAAAAGTATAATTATGCGAAGAATAATACAAATGTTGAGAGTCGAATACGTAAGCGTACACGTCCGTCTCTGCGAAGCAGTGATTGTAGAGGGGATAGAAGCGCTCCGGGGGTGGGATCGGGGATTTGTGTTTTCGTACTCCTTCATGATGTTCGCCATATTTCTGGCAAGAGTTAGGTAAATTTGATAAAGTCTCAGGTAAAATGAGTAGCCTCAAACGTGTGGATAACAGAATGAGATGGAAACTCGTGTGGTAGATTGGAGGGAGGCCAATCACAAGCGCAGATGGCTACAGTACTCAATGTAACGTCCAGTTTCGCCTGAAATTTATGGAAACAGTTTCAGGACACTGGATCCATGACGAGAAGACCTGGGCAAGGTTGACCAAGATCCACAACGAGGACTGCTACAACTTCATAACTCGGGCTGTATGCTGCCACTGGAACCCAAGTTTCACGATCTACAGTTGCCCGAAGGTTTCATGAGATAGAACTGTACGCCAGAAGACCGGCTGTTTGCGTCCTGCTCTCTACAGAACGCAATAGAGCGCATTTATTATGGTGCAAACAACGTGACCCTTGGATAAAACTTCAGTGGAGCATTGTGATTGCAGCACATAAGACAAGCACGCAACAGAGAGCGTCTAGCATGACGAACTACATACGCCTTGGAGTAGAGTGCAATGGAGCATCGTACGCTTTACAGATGAGTCAAGATTCAGCCTGAACACTGTTTCTCGGTATACCTGTATCTCAAGAGAGCCTGAAACATGATATCATCCCTCCTTCATGGAGGAAAGAGATTATTATGTGAGGGTGAAGGTGTAATGGTTTGAACAAGCACTAGGTTGGAGGGCCGTACATCCCTGCATGTGCTTGACAAAAGTTTCCTAACTGCTATGAGATGTAGAGAGGAGAACTTATAGCCCTATGCTTGACTTTTCAGGGGCACAGTTGGTCCTGGCTTCCTGTTAATGGACGACAACGCTCGTCCATATAGGACTCAGCTGGTCGACAATTACCTCGTAAGTGAAGATATTCGCCGTCTGGATTGGTCAACCACATCTTCTAACCTCAACCCTATACATATATTATCTGGGACATTCTTGGGAGAGTAGTTAATTTCATCGCGCCATCTTCCTCCGAGAATTATCCAGGAGCTGAGAAGTGCCTTGCTGCAGAAGTAGGCACGAGTACCACAGGGACACTGCCTCCTGCACAGTATGCCGTCACGTTACGAACCTTTCTGATTGTGAGAGGGGACCATACCCCATATTAAACTCATTTTCAATTCGATATCACAACGTGGATTTCAGACATCGCCGCACTATAATTTTTAATGATAAACATGCATACATAAAACACAAAATGACTTTTGAATAATGCATCTCTTTCTCTATTATAAATGTACATTCATATCAAATTTAGATCAAATCTGTCAACAGTTTTCCAGAAACTCCACATAATGGGCAAATTCTGTTAATTTTGCACATGAGTGTAGTTCAAGGTTCGGTTTAATTCAGGTTTCAAAGTTACAGGGGTCCACTCGGCCAGTGCTTGAATATATATAACGGTGTTTGAAAACTGATAATGATAAAACTGAAAATTTTAACTAATGCTAGGAGAAGGAGAGACCTTTCTTTGGGAACAAATTTAGTCAAAAGTGATGAAGATAAATAAGAAAAAATAACATTAGGTGGCTTTTAAAATTATTATGGATTTTCAGTGAAAACAGATTATGAAATTTTAAGGGAAAGAATTCAATGAAATAAAGAAAGAAAATAAATATTTAAAAAATTTAAAAGAAGTATTTACTTCATATGAAAAAACTTTTTAATTCAAAGCAATTAGTAAATCTTCTGTTTTATAAATATCTCCGACTATTGTTTAAAACTAACGATTAGTGTCTATTTTAAATAACATCTGTCAGTTATTGATTAATATAAGGAATTTATTAATTACAAGTTATTTCGAAGTTAAACTTATGGCTCAGAATCTCATATCTTCAAAAGAATAGATGTATAAAACAATGCGTACGTAATGAATAAGTGTGTGTTTACCTTAAAAGAATGAGTACATGAAGAATGTGTGAATAGAAAACGCATATATGCAGTACAGCGAACAGATGATACTTATTTATGTATAAAAACAGGCCCATGTATATTTCCAAAGAATATGCATAGTGAAACTTTTAAAACATTTAACATATTTGTAAGAAACATTTCATAGTTTTAGATGTTATTATATTGTTATAATACAATTTTTATAGCAAAATTTTAAATTTACTTAATTTTAGAAAACTGATGAGGAAGATAAACCCATGCCCTGGCGCCGAAACTTTCTAATTAATCCAGTTGATTTGTGCATTACTCGAAATCATCCGAAATCCGAAGAATACCTGAAGGATCCGGAGGTAAAGCTCCTCATGTTAGTATCATCTGCTACTGGCCATTTTGCACAAAGACGGGCCATACGGAATACTTGGGGATCCATAGCAAATTCGTGAGTATTTATTTCTCTCTATTACAGCTGGAAATCATAAACGGCATGTTTGGTATAATTATCTAACTATGGAGGACTACTATTCTTGCTATGGAGGAATCTCTTTTTTTCTACCTCCGTGTTTCTTAAGCTCTATTTCTCGACCTCTGGAAAGAGTTGTATGTCTTAGTTAAAAATATATATTTATATAACATATTCCAATCTTTCCTTTATTGTTTGCAGAAGTTTTAAACTTAATATTTTTAAAATTAAAACTTTGTACTGTCATCCAATTTCTTTCCAGAAACTCATTCAATATTAGTCATTCTTTTTTTTTTTTTTTTCTTTTTCCCAAATTTATAAAAGAATATAAATTTAAAAAAAAAAAAAAAATCAGTTCTAAATATTTAATTTATATAACTGGTTGGTATAGCAGAGCTACACGACCTAATTACCGCTTAGGGCCAAAAGTTCCAGACTGGAACCTTGGAATTTAGAAGGCTAAATAATAATCTTTTAGTTTCTGTCAAACCTGTTTTCACTCAATAAATTAAGGAAAGAGACTGTTGAGGCTGAGACAAGCTTCTGCCTGAGATCTTAAACTGTTTACGTTTTGTGCTCAGAGATTTCTATTTTTTAAAATTTTCTTTTTCTTTCTTTTTTTTAGGGGGGGTGGATGGGATAAAAAGAATTAGTAAATTAATATTAGAATAAGTAAACTATTATTCATGTTGTGCGTGTATGCATGCCTTTAAAAGATGAACTGATTTTGAAAGCTTTTTGAATAAATGTCATTTTATCTTAACAGACCTCAGAATAAGCCTAAATAAAGACAAGTTTTTCAAGATTCTTTGAAGTTATAAATAAGACTTGGGAGAAAAAGTTTTGATGCCACACATAAGCGTACACTTTAACAAATTAATTTTAAAATGTAAATGTGAGTTTTCAAAATAATAAATACTACATCAGTTCGAAGATAATTTTCTAAAAAAATAAGAAAGTTTTTTCGGTTTTGAAACAGTGGCAACATTGTAGTTAATTCTACTACAAGTTATAGAAAGAAGAGTGACTGTTAACATTATAGCAAGCAAGCTTTGTAGCATTGTAGCTTAAGTAGCAACATCTACATAAGTAGCCCTAAAGGGTTCAGAAATTTTGTTCTAAACTGTACACGATATGCTGCTCAACTTGCTTACAAATATGCTTCAGAAAACTTTTACATCTGTGTCGACTTTCTTAGCTTATAATGAGATCAGAAATATTAGATCAGAAATTTAGAGATATAGCTTATGAATCTATCCAGTTAAATGCTCAACTTCCAAAAAAGCTATTCACCTGGTTAGCTTTATGCAGGCAGAAGATATCAATAAAAAGGAATTGAGAGACGATTTTAGCCCTGAAAAGGGAAATACTAGGTTCTAAGATCTCTTTCTTATACTCCACAGCAGTCACAAAGCCTCTGTCAAAGATAGAAAGATCCAAAATGATACCTACCCATACCATCAAACCTCCTTTTTCATATTGGTTTCTTTTTTTTTTTCCAGATGATGGAGAAGAGAAGAGACTTCCTAGTTCTATTCAACTGAAATTAAGTCGCGAACCACTAACTGGATTAATCGATACTTTCAATGAACAGATCAAATTCTTACTAAACATCGTTCCGAAGTCAATGTTCTCTACATCATTTAAACGGGTTTTCTTATGAACAGAAGTGAATGGAACATATACAGAAGGTTATGAACTAACAAATCTCTCTCTCCCTTATGTTAGCTAACAAATCTCTCTTGTTTGTCTTCTGGATGTACATCTTCAAAACTCAACTTCTTGCAGAGGCCACGAGAGAGCTAAAGAGATGTCCTACACTTGTTACGTCTTGCTGAAAATATCTTCACTGAATGTCATGACTCTTATACACCTTTGATCAAACTTTCTCTCTGTGGACCGGGATACTTAAACTGTTTTCATAAATTGCACATGACGCTGGGCATTACATTCAATTCTTTACCAATCTGCATTCGAGACTGCCCTGCTTCCAACCTCCCGGCGATTCTCTACCCCATTCCAACACCCAAACTTCAGTGATTATTTACTTTAGTTATGATCTTTTGAACTTCACCAAATGTTTGCAGAATAGCTACACGAAAGTAGCCGAGGACTATAAGCGAAAGAAGCATGGAAAATACCCCATGAGTTTTCAATCACTTTTTTCTCTAAATACTCCGCCCACACTCACGAGTATGCTTGCTTATTCGAAAAACAATTCGCAGGGTTTTTTTTTTGGGGGGGGGGTGGAAGCAAGATTTGTGTCTTTCGTTCGGTCCATTTCAAGAAATTCTCTAAAATGTGCCAACTCTTTTAATTTTGAGCCCAAAAGAAGACACTATTTTCAATTTTATAGTTACGTTATGTACAATATACCAAAGATTTCAGTATTTTTATTATATTATTGTTAATACTCAGTAAGACAATTATATACATGTGTATATCTATATTTTTGCTAGATTATTTGGCCCCATGCGCTTAGGATTTGTCCTAGGTACTACATCCAACACTACAGAAGAACAGTTAATTCAGCAAGAAAGTGAGCGCTACAAGGACATCATCCAAGCAGATTTCGAGGATACGTATCGAAACTTAACTACTAAAAGTATCGTCATGCTTAAGTGGGTGGCAAAGTACTGCCCGCATTCCCAGTTTTTCTTAAAAGCGGATGATGATACGTTCATAAATGTAGGCATCATCGCAAGAATCTTGGGTAAAGAACCTTTCGCTTCTAAAGACAAATTCATTGGGGGATATGTTCACAGTGGTGCCCAGCCTTCAAGAGACCCCAACGAGGTAAGTCTATTATGAATTTGATTTTATGATAAATTTATCAAATCTGCTTCAAAGAAAATTGGTGTCATCATTCTGTGCATTGTTTTTACAAATTATTATTATTCGTAGATTTCGTGGAAAAACAAGCAAGATTCATTACTTTCTTGACTCTTTATGTAAATTTTTAATTTGTATTTCTAACCCCAAGTTCCTTTGCTAATGCTTATAGCTAAAGAAAAGAGTGCTTGCATCATATCTTTAAGTTCATGTTTCAACGTTTTTAGATCATGTTCAGGAAAGAAACAATGCTACGAAAAAGGAAATAACAGCATTTTATAAAGCTGCTTAGTTTTCAGATAATACGGGAAAAATGTCTCATAAATAATTTACATATAATTTTTGGCTACCATGAGTGGATTCTCGATTTTGCGAATAATTTTGGCACTCCACCCTTATTTCGGAAAAAAAAAAAGAGGAAAAGTCTTTTAGATATTTTGTATTAGAACATGAAGATGAAAAAAAATTGTGAGTTATTCGAAGGAACTTGCTATTTTGATGTAATGAATCTTACTGCTAAAGGTTGGAGTGAAACTTAACGCTTATACATGAAATACCCAATCCCGTATATTATAAAGGACTAAGGCTGTGTTTAGGGAGATAGTTGAGAGTTTTGTGTCTTTTAAAAATAATTTCTGGTATTCAAGGCTTTCATAATGTAAGAGAAAAAAATGTTTGGAAGAACAATTCACTTTCTATACATTCCTTTTATCTCTTTGCATTAGCTTCAGTTCTAGTTATACATTTTCTTGCCTCATCTTGTTACTACATTTTATCTTTACAGCTAGACAACATATAATCTTAAAGCCTTTTATCAGACAAATATATTTTGCATGCAGTGATTCAAATGAACCCAGTAGGACAGTGCAAGGAAAAAAGTAAAGGGGAAATTGAAAGAATAAAAGATGACACGCATGAATAGCCTATATGCAAAACGCATCCATTGCTTGTAAAAAAATTTTTTTTCAAACGGAAAAGTGTCTTTCACTTTGGACTGATGTTTGTTTTATGCAGAATAGTTAATTCTTCAGTATACCTAAGTTCCAAAGCCGTATGTAATATATTCTTCCTACAAAATTTTGCTATCTGAAGATGTAGACAAATAGGTACATATATGTACTATTGTCTACATTGACAATGAAACCTCATAACCATAATACTACATCCCTGTAACGGCGCAAATATGTTCAAATTTGAGGACGTTGTTGTTGTTGTCTTGTCCATATTACATGCACAGGTAGCCAGAGCCTACTCCGAAGAGAGGTTGGACTTCTATTTTCCACCCCCAATTTTGAGGAAGAGCAGCCCGGAAGTGGATCCGGGAGTCTCCCAACCCTCCCCTCACCCATCAATCAACACGAGAGGACTTTCGGCTCGCTGCATATTTAGAGTGCCACCATGCAGCACCGACACTATACATTTACAAACATCCATGTCTTACACTGGATTCGAACCCGGCCCTTCGGTACCGTAGTAGTACGCAGTACCTTTGGTACCCCTATCCAGTATACCGTTTGGGCGACATCTGTGGATGTATAACTCGAAAATTCATATCTCTGTTAAACTTCATTCTGACTTTCAACAGAATATTTTTCATAGCTTTGCAAATTACAGAGTAGACCAGATGGCGTTTGTTTCTACTTCCTAGTTTCTTACAAAATTCTTAATTTTTAGAACAGTTACGCATCGGACTCGACATTCTTTCAGATGATAAATCTCGAGCAAAATTTATTGAATCTCAGATGCTGAGTATAAATGTTGTTATTTGATATTTTAGTCCAAAAACTTACAGTATTTTTCTCATAAATTGTTTTAAAGAATCAAATTGTTTCGAGCTGTCTCTCACTTATATCTGTGCTTGTTTACTTGCAGAGACCGGCAAGAAAAATTAACCTTTATGTTTAAGAAATCTCAATTCCTCCAATGAACAGAAACACTTTCTTTCAGATTTTCAGTTTTTTAAATTCTTAGCTTTTTCAAGAAATTTGTTTGAGAATCGAAATTCCCAAAATGTGAAGAACAACTATTCTGCGAGAAGGTTTTTCTTGTTTCTGTCTAGTACATTTCTTATTCTTGCTATTCCTCCACCTTTCTTATTCCAAATTCCCCCCTCCCCCCACTCTGACACGATGTTTTGATCTAGATACAGAAACAAACACATGCGCACGCACATACACACCAAAAAAGATAGCCACAATCTGAATTTTTTATGTTATGTATAACACTTCGAAGTATTCACCATTAAAATTTCAAAAATTGAGAAATATGTTCTATAAAAATTAAAAATAATAAAAAGAAAAAAAGAAAGAAATTTAAAAGAAACTTCAATCTGATCTTGCATGGCAGGTGTTAGTTTAACATCTCAAAAAACATTTTAAGTAGCTGTAATAACTATATTAGTTTGAGAATTATCGCCCAGGAACTAAAGATATAGGGCATATTATCTAATATTTAAAATCAGCTGTTCAAAATGGCGAAGCCATATGTGGTAGGAGAGCATATTTGCTGTGGTATTATTTCATCAGAACATAATGCAATTTGGTGACTTGGGCACTTGTTTAATAAAGAAAAGACATTATTATTCAAGTTAATTAATAGTTCACCCTATTTTATGAAACCAGAATTATCATTTCTACATTAAGAAACTGTCGACATATAAACAAAATATATGTAAGTCTCTAATAAATCAGACTGGATCGAATGTAAAGTAATAATCAGAGCGTTATTTCACACAAGGTTTATTGACTAACACCAAAGGCGAACTGATGCATATACATAATTATGATATCACAGGTTTCTTTTTACAAATACACACTACTGCCACCTATTGGCGATCGGAGGATACATAGTCATAAACGTATATTTATAAAAGAGTTTTCCTTCTAAGTGTTAAAACAATTAATACACTCTCCTGATTGTGAGTGTATTAATTTTTTATTCAGTCATGTACACCCAAAAGAATTAGCTATTAATTTAAAGAAAAGTTAACAGTTTTCTATTAAAAAATTAAAGTAGTGAATAATTATAAAATAGCTATACATGATGTTTAATATTTTTCTGCAGTTTTTCATTTACTGAGGGAAAATTATTCTCTGTTTCTGAAATACTTTAATGATAATGTATATACAATATAAAGTTTTATTTTTTTTATATTATTTTTAATTAATTTAATTTTATTTTATTTATTTTATTTATTTTATTTACTTTATTTATTTATTTAATTTATTTTTTAATATACATTATATTATTAATATTGCAAGTAGATATTTAATTAATTAGACATCAGTTTCTTAATATTTCCTGCAAAATAAAAACGAAGGATAACATAACGAATCAAAAACTAAATTACACGTTATTGTTTATTAACTCCAAAACTTTTCCCTCTTAGAATTTTATGTATAAAATGCTGTTCGTAAGTTGTTATGGGTAACGTTGGATTCAAATCTACTAGAATTAAAATAATCTGGAAATGGTAATCCTTCATGGCTTTTCTAACCTAGAATCAAAATTTCCTGTTATCTTCTATTTTATATTAGCACGGAAACAATATAACACACTGCTTGCAAGACTGTCATCTTCGAAAGGTATTGCGAGTCTATATGTCCTAAAATCTTATTTATATTTAACGCCTATATCAGTGTAATAATTTTTGAAATTTAAGAAATTTGAAAACAACACAAGTATGTATTATTTTTAATAACTATATTATAATAGTTAATAACTATATATTATAAATTAACTATTATTTTTTTTTAAAACTTTTATTTATGTATATTTTTAATGAGATATGTAATACGTAAGCTTTATAAACATGTTCACAATTATGGAAAGACTTTTTTAATGCCTTTTGTTATGCAGTTTGGCCATAGCGTATTATGTGACGTCAGATAACTGGGTATGCTATCATAAACTTGAAGTCTTAAGGAATACGCTTTTAAAAGCTGGGTTAAAATACCTGTTTTTCTGGCTATTTAATGCTAATTTTCGGATGAGTAGTTCGTAAAGTTAATTGAATATTATCACATGCCTTCAAATTCACAAATTTAAAATGACGCAGTTTATTTTTTGCTATTAGATCATAATTTCTAATCTTATCTAAATTTTTATCACATAACAACTTTTATCTCGAAGAAATCTTAGGTTTGCTCAACGAATTACTTAATAATGCATGAAACAGCAAACATGGTGTCTGAAAACAAATATTTGCGCAAATTTTATTCATTTATAATTTGCAATTTTTTAATAAAAATTACATAATTTTTACATGCAAGAGATGATAAATTTTTAGATTACATATTTCGCCACAGTTTTTTTTCTGGATGTTCTCTGTCATCAGTAGAATTCTTTTTCAAAATAATATCTCTAAGATCGCATGTGTTATTTTTATTAACTTTCATTTTTTCGTCTTCTGTTCCTTGTTATATTTCGCCCACTAATAGCTGAGTGGTTAAGCCCGCTGAACAATAATAGCAATAATAAGAAACAAATAATCCTTCCTGAACTTGGCTGCCGGCAAAAGGGCTGGTTGCATAGAAGTTTCCTCGTTTTCCACACATATAATCGTAAATACCAGCAGTTTCTCTCAGAAAATCAGCCAAGGTAGCCTTTATATTGAGACAGTACTCGTATGTTTTTCTTAAATCAATTAACCCCCCCCCCCCAAAAAAAAAAAAAAATGTTTTCGACGCTTAACTTGGAATCCACATACTGGAATCGCCAGAATGTGGATCACTTCGGCGCATTTATGCATAAACACCCATGTAATTTCAAATGTATGAAGAATTAGAAGTGTGGCAATTTTATCACATTAAAAGAACTTTTTAGTATTTTGGATTGGGTGTAATCCTTTGAAGAAAATCTGTAACCAAATGAAGACTCGACTAAATGCAACACATTTTCAGATTGATCAAAAGCAGCATTTATAAGTGCACGCCGAATCACAACTGAAGTAAGGATTTCTGGAACATATAGAACTAACAAACGTCTAACATCCTCCCCCCCTTTTTTTTTAGTCCAAAGGGATTTGAATCCCGAAGGACTATTAGTTTCGTTTTGGCATTTTGCGTCGGACTCATAAATGTCGGTTCACTTTTCAAACTGTTGCCACAAAATGTTAGAGTCCTGCATTATATTTGAAGAAATTAAATAATGAAAAATCTGCATAAATGTATGTATATTTCTCGTATTGTGATAAAACAACGGGTACATAGAGTCATCGAATTTTGAATAAAGTAAATCCTCCAACGAATATGAGCATGTGGAAGACCAAATTTGAAATTTGAAATTTGTTTTATGATCGATTTCCTATTTTTTAAAACTTTGACGAATTTTTGATTAACAAACTCAAGGATTTCAAAGCGAGCCATGGCAACGTTGTACAGAAAAAACATTTTTATCTCAAGCGCCCGAGTCTTTGTATCGGAAACTCTAAGTCCTCATTTTAAAACTAGTATTTTGTGATATTGCTGTTGAATTCGATTTTATGGTTTAAGTGCGAGGAACATGATATTTAATAAAGAAAGGTAATACACAAAATGTTAAAAAACGCCCCTTTGGACGTAATTTAAAATCTGAAACATTTCAGATTTTTTTTTTTTTTTTGGATCATGTAATCCTGCAAATAACTCAGTCATTTGCAGGATTACATGGATGAGTTTATTTACCTTTAATCTCATAACTGAGATGAGATTAAAGGTAGTATTTTTTTTTTCAAATTGTTCAACAGAGAATAAGATATAGCATAAATTTTTTAATTAAATCTGATTTACCTGCTTTTTTAATGCCAGAAAGTGCTTTATAATCTAACATTTTCATCATTTTAGATTCAAAGATATTTTAATTGGAACTTTCTTTTCTTCTTGTTCTGATTTACGGGAAAATATACGATATTATTAGTTTTAGTGTTTAATTTAATGCTTACATCTTTAAGATATTTAAATTTGGTTTCACTTCTTGCTGAAAATTTCTTGAAGCCCTTGAGTTATAAATTATTCTTCCTCCTCACAAAAAAAAAAAAAAAAAAAAAAAAGGGGGGGGGGGGGGACAGTTGCATCGAAAAGAAGACAAATGCAAAGCATCAAAGTCATATGACCAAGTACCGCGTACAAGTTTGGTTGCCAGATCTGATCTTATGCGGTTTATATGGATGATTGAAAATATATCCGTGATATTCTGGACATCCGTTGAGGAAAACATTTTGAAAGCCATTTAGTCTGACGAATAGCTTGTTTGAATGCTGTACTAGAATAGCAAATAGACTGGATTATCAATTAACGAGTGGCTGAAAATAGACTTGCTCAAAATTGTGTATTATAAAAAATCAAGCTATGGTAAGATGGTACAAAAATGTGAGAGTACTTCAGGTAATCTAATAATTTCGTTTTGTATCACACGACTGTCAAGATATAATGCTAATAGAAAATTTATCATTTCTTATCTTCTTTACCGGGAGATGATATTTCAGATATTTTCAAGCCACACAATGTTCGTTCCAACACTAATTAGCTTCTCCAAAATCAGGTTCATTTGCTGAAACTAGTCTCATAATCTCTTGATTTCAGCCTTGTTGAGGATCTTTCAAAAAAAAAAAAAAAAAAAAAAAAAAAAAAAATTTCCCGTACAGTGTTGCCATTGCTCGCTTTGAAATCATCGAGTTTGTTAATAAAAAACTCATAAATGCTTTACAAAATAGGAAATAGACAGTAAAACAGATTCCAAATTCCAAATTTGGGGTTCCAAATGCCCATATTCGGGTGGAGATGTACGTGATTCACAACTAGATAGCTGTAGGTAGCGCTGTTTTATTTCAATGAGAGAAACATACATACATTCAAGCGGATTCTTCACTATTTAATCTCTTTAAATATAATACAGGATTCTAGCATTTAGTGGCAACAATTTAAAAAGTGATCTGCTGTTTATAGTGAATTGACGCAAAATGTCAAAACGAAATTAATAGCCCTTCTGAGCTAAAGCTCCTTTGGGTTAAAAAAAGAAAGTATAAAAATTGGAAACAAATGGTGTAAGAAAAATGGAGAAGTCGACAAAAAGTAAAGGATTCCTTCAAGTGATCTGTAGTCAGAAAAATATGGCAATCCCTAAAACATAATCTGTGTAACAATTTTCCCTTCATAGCTATCTTTATACGTATATTATTGCTCTTTTGGAACACTAAATCCTTTATTTTTGGCTAATGAGATAAAAACGATAAAAATATTTCCCTGAAAATTGAACTCCGTTACAGTTTTTAAAGGAGGCACTGTAATATTAAATTTTCTTATTAAATTCAGTAATTACTAAACGTGTATTTGTTCTAGAAGTATTACGTCTCCGAAGATGACTACTCTAAAGAAGAGTATCCTCCTTATGCTTCTGGACATGCCTACATCACTTTAGGTAGCACGGCAGCTGAGTTATTTGACGCTGCGCAACTAGTTCAGCCCCTCTTACCCATGGAAGATGTCTTCATCACAGGACTTTGTGCTCAAGAAATTGAGGCCGAACTTATTCACGAACCTCGCTTCAGATATGAAGAACCTCCGAGACCTCCCACATGGAGTGCTTACAGGTATATAACTCTATACAAACTTATCTATAATGTTTATGTGTTTATTAGGAAATGTGTGCAATTATTCCGTCCCAGTTTTTTAGCAATTTTAATGAACATGGATGATTTTGAAATAATATTTTGTATTTTATTCAAAAACTGACTTGTAGTGTTTATAAGCATAATTTACTTTTTCTAATAATCGCTAAAATTTCTTTTACTGCAGCAACTTGGCATCAGCCCATAGTGTCACCCCTGATGAACTTGAAATTATATGGGAAGATATGGCCAAAACACTACTAGATCATCTTTATCAGATAGACAAAATGCTCAACGAAACTATTGCCGTGCGAAAATAAATTGTATTGCTTGCACTGTGTACAGCTTGGGTACTGACAACGTATTTGTAGTCGAAAATAAATCCTGCAAACAATAATCTTTTAAATCTTACACGCTTAGATTATTTACGATACGCATCGCATTTTATAATCTAAACTTCTCTTTTCGTGCTTGTATAAGTAAATTCAAATGTAATATATTTTGTGTGGATTAATAAAAGTACGAAAATAAACGTCCTTATTGCTCAGTTACTTATGTTACATACAATTTTCGAAGATTTTACCCAATAATTTCTTAATAACATAGTTTATAATAGAGAGAAGTATAATTTAAAGAGCATAAATAAAATTATACGATAAGCGAGTTATTTGTTTTATTACTATTATTATTATTATTATTACTCATGTTAAATAGTATCTACAAGAATGCCATTTATCATTCGAAGTTTCAATACAATCTCTGTCAGATGAAAACCCGATTATATCACATAATCTTTTAAGTGGAGATAGAAGCTCTGTAGCTGGTCATAATTTATCACTAAGAAAAAGGCGCCGGCGTTGTTGATTAATCTCGCTTGTCTAATAGTACTATCTTATTAAATAGTGTGAAATATTGTTATGATTGGAGATGTCTGCCGGTAGATGGAACCACCAGAGAAGAACAATGCTCACTGCTGCGTTGCTAGTGTGAGGCACTCTTGCTATTATGGCATCGAACGATCAAACTGAAAGCAACTTTCGAGCGTAAATGCCGAAACATCCATCTCTTCACAGCATGCAAAGTCTTTGCAGAATACTGGTGGCACCTTTTATGGATGCTGGATATAGATTTGGATCATTTTATGTTTCTGTCAAGAAACTATAACCACGCATACATTACGAGTACGCATAATTTTTTTACTACAGCCTTTTTCGCAGAAACTGATTTTGCATTGCGATGGTATCTCTTGCTTGTTATTGTTTCGGATATGCGTTAATTTTTTATTTTGAAGTCGCCCTCAACCAAGAGATTTCTAAACACGCTTAACTACATGGGGGAAATTAAAAAATCATACCAGACCAATATCCTTCGCATCTAAACAAGGCCAACATTTAACAGAACTAATATTCAAGCACCGAATATTAAAGGATATTCTAGTAACCATACCATAAATTGGTATAATAAATAATATACAAAAAGCAGTTGTTCACTTACATTGTAATTTTACTATTACGTTATTAAATTCTATTGCACCCTATAAGACATTTTGTAAGAAATATACAATTGGCTTTACGGCTTTTTTTATTAAATTTAAAAGCTTTATGCCCATCCAAAAAAAAAAAAAAAAAAGAGGGCTAGATATTTGATAACATTTGATATGAAATATACATTTAGCTTTAAGATTTTTCTCTTCACTATTAGCAGTACAGGTTACGATTGTCTCCAAACAATAAATATTAAATCAGTGACATAGAACTTCCAGAAAAGTGGCTTTCTTTCCCTCTTCTCCTGAAAGATATCAGATCAAAAGGCGCAGAATATTCACTACGATTTTAATTGCGTCATTTAGTAGTGATTATATTGCAAATATTATTTCTTTTATATTTTTAATTTTCACTCAGTTGGGGGTTTATAAAATAATAGCATTCTTAGATCTTTCGAAAGTGTGTATTCTTCTTTAAGTGTAATTTTTAAATAAATGAAATATATCTTCATAGAATGCATGGAAGATCTGGCTTACGAGTAACAAATCATTGCAAAATCACATATATATTTGATTAACAGTCAGTTTCTCGAGATTGGAGATAAAAGTACTTGAAGAGTGAGATATCTTTCAATATTGATTTGAATTATAGTAAGTACTAAAATATTTAAAATCGTTCGTGATACTACACACTCAGATCACAGTATCAAAAAGCAAAATAAGGAAAAACGTTCGTTATGTAACAAAAGTAGAAAAAAACTACATTATAAATTTCAGTTTTAACACAACATATATTTTAAAATCATCTGGAGCAAAATAAGGAATAAACTGATTATCAAATGTAGGATAAAGGAAAAATAAAAGGAGGTTGTCTTTAATTTTAGACGATCCATAACAAAAGAAAAAAAAAAAAAAAAAAAAAAAAAAAAAAGCAATTCTTAGGATCTTAGCATAATGTTGACAAAAAGTTTCTTGTGGGTTTCAAACATATCAACAACATGAGTTTTATCAGAATCCTTGTTGTTCTATTGCGAAACTTAAGTAACAATGATGAAGAGATTGATTCCATTCCCAAATGCTCTGTTTAACAACTAGGCAGTCTTCAATATCAGGATGGTTAGTAGCGTTGGTAGACCAATACAAGAACCTCGCACATAATGCAGGAATCTAGGTCAAATGGCAGACTTCTCACGATAAATTCTTTGTTGAAATACCCAGAGTCGAACACTAAGGCGCCCCAAATTCGAAGAAAAGAGAAGCATTGGTACTTCTAATCTCTCCCACTTTAGGTCGTATAGTTTAATGATGTCATTTTTCAATGCCGCGATAAGTAGGAAATGCAGATTTTCTTCATTAAAAAACTGTAATCTGAAAATTGCCCTTTGTTTAACGTCTAGAATTTTTAAAAATTTGAAACATATTAAAATAAGATTAAAAGAAATTGCACTCAACTCTTCATTTTAATATACAGATTTCAGTTTAATGCCTGAAACAGTTTTAAGCCAAACAGTTACAATAAGAATATTAGTTTAAGAATTGGTCCCCCAGAAATAAAAGAGCTATTCAAAATGTATACAGTTAATATAGTACAGGAGAGCTTTGCTCTAATATCATTTCCACGCAATTTAGCGCCATGTAGCGACTTGCACACTTATTTATAGTAACGAAAAGAAGATTTAATTATTTAAGATGTCGCTGTGTATTTATTTCACTAGACGGTTTGCTTACCAAACTTGCTATAGTTATTTCGCTCTAATGACAATACTTTCTATTTTGCCGAGATGACAAATTCTCTGTCAAAAAACTAAAAAACCCGAAGGAGAATTTTTTTTAACCTAACATGTTTGTGCTATTAGTTTCTTCTCTCTTTTCTTATCTTGATTTGGTGTATTTTTCAATTTTCCACATAAACGTTTTATTGCTTACTTTATCATTGCCTTGTACTACAGTCTATTACTTTAAAATAAGAACTTCAAGGTTATTTTTCGTTATTTCCCTGGTTTAACTTGTAGCTACGGAAACAACAGCTGTGGAAAGAAGTTAGACTAGCTTGATCTCATTTCCTTTTAACGTGGTTCCCTCATGTAAAACACGCAAATGAAGGATGAGTTGGACAACAAACTCAAACGACGAAGAGAAAATAAATGTTTTGCGATGATTGACGACGTGGCTTACGCTCCCAAATGGAGAGAGATAGCAAAGGCCTTTAAGTTTCTATTTCAAATTAATAGCCTATATATGTTGCAATTTTCAGAATTTTCGATCTTCGGCCTTCATACTTCTAAAATTTTATGAATTTACCAACAGTAAATTATTTCTAATTATATCTTGCATTATTTATTATTTATTCATAAGACACACACATACATATATAATTCATAATAATTTATTATAGGAAAACTTTCCGCAAGTCATGGGCTTTTTAATTTACTTTTAATTACTTTATTTTGAATTTATATATATAAAGTCTCGATCCTCACTCTTTTGTCCATATAACTTGCCAAATGTGTTGCCACTCGGCAAAGCGTAAAATATTTGTGGTTTAATAAAACAACTTAGCCATTTAAAAGAAATGTGTTGCCACTTCCCGATGTAAAATACTTTTATTTTCCAAGCCCCAGTTTGCTGCTATTTAACGAAACTTAAAATATATAAAAAAAAAATATTGATTAACAAATTAAGCGATTCGAAAACAATAAATGCAGTTCTTTATCTCTAATTTAAATTATTAGCTGAAACCGTGAAATTACATTAGTTGGAATTTTTAAACGTATTAAGCATATTTTCTTTTTTTTCTGATATCTATTTTGGGCGGCTCACAGCTTTAGCGAATAGTTATTTGAAAAGTGAAATGGACAACAAAAGCCATTCGTCACAAAAGTGAGGTTCGAGACTGATGTTCCTTCGAGGCTAAAAAATGTATGGGAAAACTAGCAAGTGTCGGTTTTTCTAAAGATATGCTGTTTTAAAAGACTTTGCTATTGTATTTTACGTGGAGCGAAGAATAATGTTTAACAATAAAGTTAAAAAGTTAAAAAATGGTGTGTCAGCAGGAGTGACTCCAAAAGCAGATTGGTTAACTGACAGCAAAGCGAGAACATAAAGAACTTGAATAAACCTCTGGTGTGACATTAAATCTGAATCGTTTAGTTTCTGTAAGCATCTGAATCTTGCAGAAGCTCACGTGAGTAAATAAAATTCATTGGAAGTAATCAGGACCAGGAACAAAAAAGATAAAAATATGTAAAAACATTTTTATAACAAGTCTAGTAAAAAGTATAAAATTACAATGTACTTTTTTAATGAACTTTTTTAATTATGCACATTCTTTGGGATCAGCAGCTCTAGAAGCTTCCAAGAATTGACGCCCTAGTACTTGTTCATACGAATCGCTCAAGGGCGTGATTTTCAGACCGGTTGCCGAGTCTTTGAAAAGAAGATCTGGTAGCTGGCCTCGGTTAAAAAGTCTATACAAAGTAGAATCCTCTGTAAAGTATCGAGAGGAATCTGCAAGCAAACGAGCTAGATGTAGACGGCGTGTTTCCGAAAGTCCGCCTTGAGTCACTACCTAAAACAAAAAAAACACATCCAAACGAATCATATTTATGTGGTATATGTGGAAATGCAATTTATTTACATTACATAATCGTTTTGTGACTAAAAATTCAATATATACATGGCATAATAATTTAATATTAAAAAGCGTTTAATATCAGAAGATTACCAGTTTTACGGCCGAAAATTCTTACATATATGATGAAATTTTATAATTTTAATCAATAACAATAAAATGAAATCTTTTAAATAAACAGTAATGTGTAAGCGATATTGCGACACCCGAAGGAATATGTAAGAAAACTAAAAGGCTAAAATCAGAAAGAGTTCTGAATTAAGTCCAAATGACTTCGTAGGAATTGCTAAGTGTCCTTCGTTAAGTGTAACTGACCTGCATTTAAGTTATAAATGAAAAAAACCGCGAAACCCTCACCCAGTAACCCTTTTAAACGAGGGATGGATCGCTGATAAATTACCAATATTTCGCATTTATATTTTCAAAATTACTTTGCATGAAAATATGCAGGTTTTTTTAAAGCAAGAATTTTTCAGATATTCTTGCTTCTGGCAGATTAAAATAGGTTCTTTTAAGTTTAAATTAATATATATAAAGAGCTTTAATAGAAAATTAAGCTATTCTCCTAGGAAAAAGAAACTCCATTTATTTGTTTAAATGGTTGATTCTTTTTTTCAAGTAAGTATCTAAAATACTGCATAGTCTTTGTTCCCCAAGACTAAATACTAACTGAACTGTAAATGGGGAAGGTTAAGGACTGATGGCCATGAAATCGAGTTCTACCCTTAAAAAAAGGATACTAAGGATAAAAGGAATTATCTTTAGAAAAAGGATAAAGGAAAGAATCAGTAATTTTGGGAAGATGATTCTTGCTTTAAAGAAAGAATACAAAAACTGAGAAGATTAAGGGTTGAACTATAATGTTAATGTTCTAATTCTAGTTTATTTTTATTGGTTTCGTTTAATCAGGTTTTCTTCTACGATGTTGTAATGTAACACACACATTGGTTGAAAAAAAAAACGGGAAGAAGGAAGACGCTTTAACAATCATGAATCGAAATTTGTTAAAAAATAATTTACTGCAGATATCATTACAAGCTAGAGGTTTGAAATTACTTAGATAAGGAATGAAAGAGTATACAAAGATGGGGAATTCTTCTATTCTCGTCCTTATATTTAGCACATGGGGCGAAGATTAGAAGGATAGTGGAACTTGTAGAAAGAACACTTCTCTGCAGGTGACAAGGGAGAAGGAAAATTGAGCGAAAGGATTTTTGGGTGACTAGAAACATTAAATTCTTTAAGACGTCCTTTTTCAAAATTAGTTTTCCAACAAATTTTACCGAAACAGTAAATATTTTGACGAAATCACTGAGCAGGTGAATTTCAAATCATTAAGTACAAAAAAATTTATTTATGAATTATTCGTACTTCAACTATTTTTTAAATGCTGTCTTTTTAAACTCTACATCAGGCTTTCTTAAACTGTGGGTCGAGGGACCTGCAACAGGTGGTCGCCAAAAATTTTAGAAGTTTTGATATTTCTTTAACTTAATTACCAAATATTTTTACACAAAGTATCTAAAAATAGATGAAGATAAAACAATACAGGAAAAAAAAAAAAAAAAAAAAAAAAGAAAAAACGTTTCGACGCATTCTTTTTATAATATAAACGTTCATTTTCCTTGCTTTGCACGTGACGCTGTCATTCGTCTGTTATTTATTTAAAATTTTCACATTGTTCTATGTCTTAAAATTAGAAATTAAGTTAATGACCTAAAACTGCAATAGTATATTACAGTACCAAGTGAACAAATTGAGAGTTTCACTCACTGTGTCGGATACTTATGGGGTCCCACAAAATGTTTGTAAATATCCTGGGTGGTCCTGGGGGTCGCGACAAAATCTCAGTGATAAAAAGGGGTCGAGACTGAAAAAAAGTTTAAGAAATCCTGCTCTACATAAACAATAATATTCAAAATAATCGAAATTAATGTCTCTGTTTATCAAAGATGAAAATAGATGGCAGCACTAACCAAAAAATGACTGATTAAACGTTAAGCCCTTGGATATACACTCGTAGTTCTTCCTTGAGAAATTTCCTTCTTCGTATTTTTCCTCTTATTTAATATTTATGTTACCCTTTATTAAATCAATTACAATCTATTATACTAAATCATTCTCTTTCTGAATTCTAATTATTTGATTTTTGCAAATGCATTTTTATGATTTAGAATTATAAACGTAATAATGCATTTGAAAACATAAAAAAAAAAAAAATTATGAATGCAGCACATGCATTTTTATGTTTAGGATTATAAATTTCCTTTAAAAAACCTGCTTTGTTTTTAAAAGAAAAGTTCAAGCTAGTCACGGTAAAAATTACTTTTTTCATTTGTTTCATATTGAATTAACTTTTTTAGAAAATGATTGATAATATAATTTCAAATGCGGTGAAGTTAAACGTACGCTATACTTTTTATGATGTAGTCGCTTATTCCCCTTTCAGCAATATGGTTCTTTCTTTAGTAATACTGTCAAAAAAAGATAATTGGAAAAGTACAATATGAATTAGTAAGTTAAAAAATAAAACAATAAATGACACCATCATTAAAAGAAGATATGACTTACATGGTGAGATGGAACTTTTCCCAAATTGCACTGCAAATAGTTCTGCACGGGGGCAGTACCACCATGGTCACAAAGCAACATGAAATCAGAGGATAGCAGATCACGAGTCCATTGGGCATCGCTGTGTCCATCTGTATAGTCCAATACTGTTGTATGTTTAATAAATGACACGTCACCTCGACCTTCAGCAAGACATCTCAGGGCACCAGCATAGCCGCTGTAACGCTCTCGAGAATCACGTGCACATCTGTAAAATAAGCAATAATAATGAGTGAAAATATGCAAAATAATCTTTTCTGTCGTGAAAAATTGCTAGAGATTTGAAATTTCAGTTTTTGTCCCTGCATCTGAGAAAGATAATGCTAGTAAAGATATATATATATATATAACGGAAATGAAAGAAAATATTTCACATTATTAGAGCTGAGCATATTTTGCAAGGTCCAAAGGTGGCAATCAAATAATGACAAAATATTTTTTTTTTTTTTTTTTTAATTTTAAAGCTGCAGAAGTTATTTAGCATATTGTTTGAAGATCAACTCTTATATGTTATGCAAATGTTACGTTAATGCAAAACATTGGCACTATCATGTAATAAAAAGGCAGTAGTAGAGATTTGTTAACAGTATGGCTCTCGACGAGTGGATGTGACAGTCCTTTTGAAATCTTCGATGTCAGAAAAAAACTTTCTTTTGTAAAGAAGTTTTAGATTAGTAAGCAGATAACAGGATAGTTAGAGAGGGGCGAACAAATCTGAAGAAAAGATGAATGTTCGAATACAGACGGGGGCAATCCTTTTTATTTCAGATGTAGTTGTGCGCCTATTGACAGTCTAAAAATGATTTATCATGCTGTGTAATGCGTTTGGAACAACAACTTTCGTCTGAATGGTGTAAAATCTCAAACTAAAAATATTTTATTCCATCGAATGAATAACAACTTTTCGAAATGCTGTGTAGTTTCAATTGTGAGTTTATACACATTTTTAAAAAAAATAATATATGTTAATCATTCAGACTCCACACTTTCAAAATTCCTTAGAAATTCATTACAGTATTTTCTAGTCCACGTAAAAAAGAAGTGTGCAGGAGAAACATAAAATATAAAAAAATCCCAAGATTTCTTGAATAAAATTAGACAATATCATTGCTTTAAAATCTGACGATTGAAATGGCGAAGAAAACTCGGAGCTCAAAATACACGGATAAGATATTTGTCAAAATTGACAAATTTTTCGTTTACAAATGCAACTTTCTGGTTATGAGATTTAATATGCCTTATTAATTTACAACTGGTTATCAAAAATGCTTCCAATAGCCAATTAGTAATCTTAAACAAAAATAGTTTTTGCGTGATTTAATAAAACTGTTACATCTTTTGGACTACATTTTTACCTCTTGTTGCAATCAAAAATTATATAAACTTTTATCTACCTCTTCTTGCTGTTGATGGTGTGGTGTTTAAGTCTCGGAATGAATGAACCTGTCCTACCTGATCAATAGTTTTGTCCCAGAGCCGGATGGCGGTAATTTGACCGGCGCGGCCAACGTACATAAAGGTGACGGTATCTTTTGGAAAGTTATCAATTGTCATCGCCAAAACACAAAGGTATTCCGACACTAAGACACAAAGATGCCTGAACCCTTATGAAGTTCATGAAGAATAACCGTCATCAAGATGCCGGGACGTCCGTGTAAAGGTCTTTATTTTAGCGGATAGACCCCGACGTGCAAAACGATGCCAGCACCCTTATGGAATTCGGTTTATAACATGAGGAAAACGTATACAAAAGCATAAATGACGCCAATGTGCCAGCCCATATATCCCATGTAAGGTTTTCCGCTTGCAAAATTCTTATAATAAAAGCTCTGCACCCTTATATTAGTCGGCCACTGTTTGCCAAGAACTCCCTGGCATAAATGTGTATGCACCCTTGTGAAGTTCAGTGTATATAAACTTGGAAAAAGCAACTTTCGTCAAATTGTAGAGAATTGTCAAATTGGTCGTCAGACTTTATGACAGAATCTTTATTATGGTTTTGTCTTGAAAATTCACAAGGAGAGGTATTGTTCACATTTAATTCTTTGTAAAGGAAGTGTTGTAATTTCGATTGTCATATTTCAACGAAAATACTTATTTTGACCGCTCTTGAATTTATTTAGACGCATTTTTTGCGTGACATGTATAAGTAAGGACAGATAAGTAAGGGCAGGAGATACATTAGTCTAAATGAAAAATTTGGACTAGTGTATCTATTAAACTCGAAAAATAACTCAGTTTTTTTTTAATCAATGCTTTATTTTACTGTGGTACAAAGGCAAATTCAAGGGGATATCATGCCAAACCAGTTTCTTTTTAAACGATTGACAAATTAAAATTGAAGAATTGATAAAGGAAATTCCATACCGGTACCAATGAAGAACTTAAATAGTGACAAATAACTGGGGCAAAACTAGTAAAAAATTGATAACATTTATTGATTTTTTAAAAATAAATACAATAGCACGGGTTTTGTAGTAAACGCTTATGAGATATTTTATGATACTATGTATTTCATAATCATTTGCAAGTGAAATAATACGTTTGTTTTATCAACAAAATTAATTAATAAAATCTTAATGCATATTTAATTACAGTTAAAGAGAAAGTTTTGAATGTTTCTCAAAATTAAATATTCTAACAAGAAAACATTTTTGACTTCATGAGTTTTATGTTTTTTCCCAAGGATCAAATGCTAATTGTTAATATTCGTTAATAATAAGGGTTAACCTAGAAGAATCAGTTTAATGTTCACAAACCAAAACATCAACAGCTGTCTGTCTAACGGCAGGGATGTCTAGAGTAATTTTTTTATAGAGGATTAAGGAAAACTGCATTTGTTTTGACTTTACACAGGAGAAAATCCGTGCAACGGCCGTTATGGCTAGGTTTCAAATCTTTAGGAAAGCATCCTTCTCTTTTGTCAGATAGTCCTCGTATACTTAGCTTATTCTATTAAACAATTTAAATAAACTTAATTGAACGACCACAAATTAAGTGGAGACAATTAAGATAAGGCATATACGCAAAATCGCATTCCGTAAGTTCGCGGTACACAGATTCTTACTGCCATTCGGTAGTATTTGAAATACATCACCAACACAGCGCATTACCAATGTATTTGCTTTTCTGGTGTCCCAATAACCATTAACTTAAAATTATTATTGTCAAGTCAGCAAAATACAACAGAATTATTTGTCTTTCGTTTATTACATTAAAGATAATGTCATGGTATCATTTTTGCATGCATAATGCAATTTAAAATTTAAATTACTAATTTTTTTAAAAGGCGTATCTTACTTATTTCTATATCAAATTATAAAAGCTCTGTTTATTTCAATTGTCTAAACAGGCTCATGAGACTCCGGAGTCAAATTTTGGTCATGCATAGTCGAAATTATTGCATCTGTAATTGTTTCATAAAGGATATTAATTTTCAACAGTAACTCAAATAAATTATGATCCATACAGCAAGCATGGGAAATATATTACAAGAATGCACACTTACTTGTGAAGTCCTTCTTCATCACCAACACAGTGTCGGCAAAGATCTTCACTTCGAACTCTTCCAGGGTTGTATTTTGTGTCGTTAGCTCCAGGTACGCAACTTCCAGCAGAAAAGAAATCAGCTACCGCTGCAGCACGATTGCAGCCACCCTCCGATGGCAAAAGTCCCTTGGAAATCAAAGATCCCACTGGCATTACCCAACCTGCCGTACGGCCCATACCGGTGTGGCAAGAGCGAAGATCTGCAAAATATTAATATATATAGAAGAGCCAATAACAAGAAAAGTAATTATATATTAAAAAAAGTATTAAACACACTTTCAGCGTACATTAAATGATAAATATTTATTCGTATTACTTACTGGTACTGCTGCTAATTTATTGCATTCGAGTAGTACTTATTAGTAAGAATAAAAGTGAATACAATTCCATTTAATAATATGAATGGGCATAAACCTAGTAAAATTTTATTACACATCCCAAAGATTTTAAGCTGAATTTAATTCACACAGTATACGCTGCCCTCAACTTTTGGACATTTCGCACATTTTAAAAATCTAATGTGTACACCACATGACTTCCTTGTACGGAATATTAAATTATACGCATTTTTTCTTGCATTTCATTTAAACTTATTCGATTGAATTAAATCTACTTCGTCGATAGCACATAAACCACAATAGAATAAATGCACTCTTTAAAAATTCACACTATTTGTTTACTATAGCGACACTCTGGCGCTAGGTTTACATATTCCGTTCATATTATAACTCAGAATGCACAAAATTTATATCATTTGAAGAATTATCTAATCGTTGCCACATGTTCTATTCAAATGCTATAATAAATCTAGAACGATGTATAAAAGAAATTAAGTAAAACAAAAAAGAAACAGTTTTTCACAGACGATTCAGTGTTTCTCATTCAATTAATTCAGCTCTCACTTCGCGACAAGGCAAAAATACATAAAAACTCAAAATATCTGTACTACAAATTTTGAAGTAAATCTTAAATACTTATTTCCTCGAAAAATTCCAGAAAGGATTAAGCATGATTTAATTCGCAATAATAAATGAAGGCGTTATCATTGTTATTGCGAAGCTTAGTCTCTCTAGATTGGCAATTGGCAACAAATCTACTATTCTGCTGTTTCAAATGTAAACAAATATGTCCGTTATGATGTTTAAAAATTAGGCTTAACGCACTTAAACAACTTTTAAATTGTTGATAATTCTACAAATATTGCTTGCAGATTTCCTAAAGACATAAAAATCTTAACCGGAAGGTAAGAACAACATAATTAAATCATTTTTAAAGCAAAAAATGCACAATTTACAAACATATCAGAGTAAAGAAACTGAGATCACTGAGCCGGGTAACAGAGTGTATATATATATAAATATATTTATATACGTTTGGTGCAGCCGATTGCAACCAAAATACGAGGTGCACATCTACATGTTATAGCAGTCCTATATACAAAATTTCAACGTTCTGAGGCTACTTGTTTTTGAGTTATGCGAGATACATTCGTACGTACGTACAGACACCACGAAACATTCTCTTCAGAATGCATTTTAAAGCAGTTTTATAATTTTTTGGAGGAAAGGAGTCTTTTATTCTGTCCTTACGTACAGAGGTCACGCAAAAACATTGTTAAATTGCATTCGATGGCGGTCAAAATGGATATTTTAGTTGAAATATGCTGCCTGAAACTTTTCGCGATTACAATACTTCATTTTTACTTCGTACAAGGAAGTAAAAATTAGAATTTTTTAAGGATTTCTGTCAGTATTACAAAAATTCGTTCGGTTCCATGCAGTCGCACTCATTCGCACCTTACCTCCTAAAGTAGCGGACTTCTCGGAATCGTTGAGAGGTCAATAGGGTTCTGACACGGACCTGATAAGAAACATAACGGATTTCATAAGGTTCCGAGACGCGGTGGCAGGGGCCGAATGTCATTAGGGCATGTATCGATGTGTTGCATGCTTTGCCAATATATTTGCTCGTGTTTAAATACGAATTATAAATTAAACATTTAATTATAAATTTATAAACATGAATGAGAAACGGAGAAATTGCAGTGTTGATACGAACAAAAATAAACTAAGGATTCATAAACTTCGCACAATCTTGACAAAGATGGTAGATTAATCTTATAATAATTAGACCCCTTGAAACTGGTGAATCTTTTGAAACCGGTGAATCAATCGGCCGTTCCTAAGAGGTGAACAGGTGTACGATATGTTCAGTTTTGAAAATCAAAAATGAAATTCAGGAATATCTTCAAAATTATAGAAATATAAATTGTTTGATATTGTGTTTTCAAAAGACATAATAATGAATTGAAATGGAATGATCTTTGTCATCATGGATTGATAATCAATATCAAAACGGTTACTCACCTTTCAGTTGTGACAATTTCGTGACATCAGACTCCGATCTCAGAACAGCAACTGCATAGTAAGTAGCATCTGATCCGTTATATAACTCAGCAGCTATAGGCTGGAGTCCGTAGTACCTAAAAAAAATGTTTTTTTAAAGAGAGAAATAAAATACGAAAGCATTTTATTACATAAGAATGCTACTTTTTCCTAAACATTTTCTTAATGTTCTCAGTCTGGATTTTCACACCTGAGAACAAGGACATATATTTTTTGAAGGAGTTGGAATATATTAAATTTGTGGCTGCGTAGCTGAATTCGTCGAAATCGTTAAAATTGAATCTTTCTTGAATTTAAGTCAAATTTCTAATGCGATTCGAAACTCATTAGCAAAAGTTAGATTTCTGTATGGATATTTTCATTACTTACGTTAACAATTGTAAATTTAAAACATATGATTTTTCATTAAAAGATCCTCCACGAAGGTCTTCCTCGTCTTAAAAAGGTAGACTTTGCAATTTTAGCCTTGTGTAATGTGTTTGAATTTAAATCTTTCCAGAATCGCTATCTTGTACAGTTCAACTAATTTTTTTTAATTCCATGCCACCAGAGAAAGTAATGATAACGTTGAGATCTGTTATAATTGCATGAATTACGCATGAAGTAAATTTAAAATATGCAATAATTTCTCAGATTCAGCTTCAAGGCGAACGTAGGAAACTTACAAATGAAGCTTTTTAAATCTTACTCTAATGGTATATTATGACTAAAATAAATTAAGATGAAGCGACAACGATAACAAAAATAAAATAGTTATAGCCTTACTAGTTTAATGGACTACTTCCAAACACACTATTAAACGAATATCTATACACTGCAATTTTATCTCTTATCTCTTACTGCAACGAAGTTCTACCATGATACACTCATGTCCATAAATAAAGGATAATTAAAAATCACATGGAAATCGAACTCTAAAGTAAAAATTTCACCTGTAGAGTTATCGTACACATCTTCAAGAATAATATGCAAATTACAGGAAACCATCAGATGATTTTAGTTCTTTCAAAAGCCGAACACACAGATCCATAAATGATTATAAAAACTTATGATTTATCTCTTTTGGTGATATTGTGGTTTTTAAGCAGTTCACTGGCGATCTTGTTGTTTTTATAATGAGCTCTTGCTTTTAATAAGTCTGCCCGTTTAGGAAATTCCTAACTAGATGCGCTGCAGTAAGTTCATAAAAAGGTTCTGCTTTATTTATATAAAAAAATTATATAAAGATTGTGTTTCTTTAAAATGACTTTTTAATATTTTTTTATCATTTACAGTTGTAAAGTCATTAAGTTATATAGATGCAAGAAATACGAAAAATGTGCAGTGCACTCGCAGGATTCGAACCCCGGACGTGCATCCAGTCACACCATGTAGGCACGCACGCGGAAAAAAGGGAGAAAATACCTCATATACTCTGCGTTTTAAAGTGCAAGTGGGAAGTAGGGGACAGAGTCACCAAATCCTGGTGAGAAGTATCGTCCACCATCTTTTAGTTCGGGTGCCACTTGTAGAGATTTTTTTTAAAGGAATTTTTTTAAGCCTGAAAACGAAAGAAATCCGCAGTGCCTTCACGGTGATTCAAATTCCAGACCCCCTATTGCGGGTCGGATGTGCTTCCACTAACTCCCCGAAGGCACGTTTTCCACGTGCCTTATACAGTTAAGAAATAGGAAAGAGGGAGAAAATACCTTATACAGTTAAGAAAGTAAAGGAAACACGGCTAAAATAAAGTTAAAAACTTTGCTATTAATCAGCATGGCCTTTGTATTTTAAATTAAAAAAACATTCAAGGTCGATTAGATCTCTTCTGTTTGAAGACAGCTTAAAAACAAAAACAAAGTGAATAAATGAATACAATTTACCGTCCTCCTTTGTAAACATCACCCCCATCTAGAACCAGCAAATCGCAATGGCCTTCTTTCAAATTTTCCATGCATGCCACTTTAGAAGCAGCTTTCAAACACTGGACATCTGGCCATAAGCCTCTGGCTTTCACTGCTTTGGCGTAATCTTCACATTTAGCAACCTCTTCGTCCGATGTCAAACAAAATGAAGCTTGATTTTCAGTTTCACCTTCACATCCTGGACGGGGTTTCCGAATAGTATGAATGAATTCACCTACAGAAAATGTGAAAAGATCTCAGAATCACTTAAACTAAGAGCAACTTAAATGAGAAGTGAATTACGGTTTTAACAGAAAGAGCAAATCTTGTTCCTTCTTACGGGAACAAAATGTTGTTGAGTAATGCAAAAGCCTAATACCATAATACCATAAAGCCAAATTTTCTGTTTTTATTTAAAATTGCAATTAAAGAATAAGAAATTAATTAGATAATTAAATGGTTAAAAATCAGTTAATTAGTGGATTTCACTTAAGACCTTGCATTTAAAATCATTAATGCATTTTGATAAAATGTCAGGTCATTTGAATATGTCCCAAGTGCTATCAGCGTAGAAGCAGAGATGTCTCCGTGGACGACTTGCTGAGGGAAACTAGCTCGCATTTCCGTTAACCACGGGAAAACCCTCGAAAACCAAACATGCAGCCAGCCCTTCCGCCTGAGAATGATCCCATTTCAGATCGAACTATTGGTATTCAGCAGTCTTGACCCTTTTACCCTTAGCCGGCTATTTTTTATTAAAGAATTTGCATTATATCTTAGTCCGAGTTTTTAAAACAGCAGCATATAAAATTTTTATATTCTATTTAAACAACCTACATAAATTTTAATCTATATCTATCTACCCTAATAGGTAATTAAATCTGATAAAAATTTCACATCTGCTCTATTTTTCTTAGAAACATCATTATCAAAGAAAAGGAATTTAACAATCAGATCATACTTTTTACTCATGAGAGGTGTTAAAATTGATGATGAACTGAAGAATGTATGTTGTATGCTGTAGTTTTAACTCATTTATTTAGTATAGCCATAGCCTACTATATGAAAAGTATTAATTTACTTCTGATAGTCAAAACTAGAAAGACTATCAAAAAGAAAATAATTGGTAATGAATAAATATATAGATTTCTAACTATGTGTACTCTATGGAATGTTTGAAAAGTTTAAGCTAATCAATGGGTATATTGCTCCACCCCCACGAAGCACAGGCAGTTCGTCCTGGATTTTATTAACACCGACTGAAGGAGTTGATTTCATGAGGCTCTAGAATGACTGTTCATAGATCTCTCATTCCAATTAAGCAGCTAAGGGAACCAATGGAATACAAGAAGACAGGCATATAACATGGGATAAGTTCGGTCATGAGATAAATTTAGCAAAAATTATTCGAAATCTAAACATTTTTATGGCTTGTAGAAAATATATCAATGAAAGCTTGTTCTCTTAAACGATTGCAAGTTAAGCAGTATTCTCATATATGTTTTCGACTTCAAATCATCTTCTGGACGATCTTTTATTTCATGAAGCAGTATTATTCTTTTTATTTTAAAGAGAAGGCCTGTGGCCCCTAGGCAGAGCTTAAAAAGAAGACGTACAATGTGAAAAAAAAAAAAAAAAAAGACAGTTCTATAACTCCCGTTCTACTAGGCCGATTGACGAAATTCAAATTGCGGTTTTCATGTCTAGAAAGGACGACTTAGGACATGTATTAGATTTATATATAGCATTGTTCTATTAAAGATATTTTGGCACAAAATCGGACTTTCTCTGAAATAACACACCAATTTTTTCCATATTTCGATTCTACGACTCAAATTACGTCAAACTGCCAATATTTGTAAAAATCGCACGAGTAGTTTTTAAAAAATTAGCTCTGAAAATTTTAGCTCCTCAGTGTTAATTGAGTTTGGTATATATTTATTAATCTCTTTTTTTTTATTAAACTTATTTGATTATCCCTTTCACATTTCGAAATTCAGGTTCATTCCAAATAAAATTCATCCATTTTTTATGATTTATTTCTGAAATACGTAATTTTAAATAATTTTTATAAATTTCTCAAAAACATTTTTGAATAATAATATATAAAATTTTTACCATCAAGTAGACGTATTTCTAAGCATAGTTGAAAAAATTATAGTTTTTTATTGAAAATTCTCGAAGATATACGTGAATTTATATATTGGCGCGTTTGAAATTTGGCATATTTGTTGAAAGGGATAAAACATCAAATGTGGTTTAGACACTCTGCTAAAATTATTTGAAAGTAGAAACGATTTGACTTTTTTCCCGGTCATGCACAATTAACTTTTTTCCCGGTCATGCACAATTGACTTTTTTCCCGGTCATGCACAATGAAAAAAAGGTAGGAACGATATGCCTTTTTTTTCGCTCCGGCATAATGGAAGGAAACGGAAAATTGGTTGCCATATATTAAGAAGTTCGCCAAGTGAATTATTCTTGGCGCAAACCGAAAAAATTGTGCCAAGATAAAGTTTTGAATTTTTCGGTAAATTTTGCACAAAATTTTACAAAATTTACTATCTAGGCATGATTTTAGTCGTAGAATAGAAAAATGGAAAAAATTGGTATGTCATTTCAGAAAAAGTCCGATTTTGTATCAAAATACCTATGTTAGAACAATGCTATGTATAAATCTAATAAACATCCTAAGTCGCGTTTTAGAGACATGAAAAACGCAATTTGAATTTTGCCAATATCGGCCCAGTAGAACGGGAGATATAGAACTCCCCCCTTTTTTTTCGTACTTTACAAGCAAAATTGAAATACAGTACAAAAACCAACAAAAAATACATAACCTCAAAACTTCGATTAGCGATCCTGTGCTTATACAGAATAAAGAGAGATTCAGACACGATAATATGTGCCCTACAGAGAAAGAACAATGGCTATAAACAATTCCGTATCGAAAGAGATGGACTGAAGAGCAGTTATGCCCGCTGGTCAAACAAAGATCAGCAACTGTCGTAACTCTGTAATATTCTGATACGTATACTGTTGAACTCAGAAGCCCATTACTTGCGCTCAATGCTTTCTCATGCAGATATTTTATAGCTATTCAGAATTTTTTTAAAAATACGAGTATGGGAATACAGGTCATAAAAATGATAAAATTCGAATTCCCTCCTTTTTTTATCTAATGAAATTCGCCTTTTACACGATCCCTGAAACCACCACCATCAGAAGAAATCACCATTCATCACGAGAAATTGGTTTCAAAAACATAACTTTGAGTACTTCGCGTTTTTAGAGCTTAAATGGGGCGGGGGGGGGAAAGAAAGAATAATATAATGTCCTCTTTTTCTAAAAAAAGGGAGTGAGCACGATATGGAATGACTTAATAATTGCAACTTAATAAAAAAGTACAAGTAAAAATTTTAATTTTGCATGTTTTTACTGAAATAGAGTATAAGATTAAAACTGCAACAATCAAAACGGCAAAATCTTTTTTTTTTTTTTTTTGTACAGTCAAAAGTCGTTAATTCGGACTCGTCGGAAAGCGATTCCGGATTATCAATTTTCCGGATTATAGATCATCAGTTTAAACTCGTAAGATGGCATGCAGAAATTCTAAAATTTAAAAAGAAACCATAATTTATGAATAAAGAACAATTATGATCTAAGGTATCAAAATTTACAAAAAAAAAAGCTTAATATTTATTTGTTACTTATTAAACATTTTTTTTCAATGTAAGTTGTTTCGTTTTAGTGATAATACATTCTCTTTAATTCTAAACAGACATAAGTTCTGTTCAGTACAAAGTTCCCTGTTCAAGTCCCGTAATTGCTGTGCCGAGAATACGACTAACTTGTAATCGAATTTTCGTTTTCACTAACCTTCTGTCACTTCTTCATGTCTTTATCCATTTTTTGCAGCAATTCCACTTTGTTTGACGGACATCGAAACATCTATCGTTTGTAGATCCTTTGGGGCTGCAGCCTCGGAAATTCTATTGACATAATCGAAAGTTCAGTTTACTTTTATATAAAATTGCTCTATCTATAGGAGTGTTTTTTGTTGTAGTCTGCAAAAAATATAAGCCGCATCCAATTCGAAGGTTAAGGAGTAACGCAATCATCAAATGAAATAGATAATTAGATAATTTAGCTTTAACCGTCCGTTAACATTAACGCGCACGCGAAAACGTATTCTGCGCTTGCGCACACGCCTATGCGCAGTCGTAAAGGTCTTACGCGCACGCTAAACGCCTATGATGGTCAAAGCGGCGCATGAGCAGAAAGTTTTTAGCTTTGAGTCCGATTATAGATCTTCGGATATGGGTGTCCGAATTAACGACTTATGACTGTATTCATTTCTCAAATTAGAATTATTGGTTCTAGTTTAAGATTCTCTAGACTTCAAGAGCTATTTAATACCACAATCTTTTTTAAACATAGTATGCAAACGTATTTTCGTATACACAAATTGATTCACAACATAACAAACAAAATGAAAAAGTAAAATTTTGCAAAAATACCTAAATAACTTATATATGTGTTCTTCTTTTCATCAGTTCGTTTTAGCCCACTCACTTTAGGATGAGAGAGGAAAGTCTTATGGTACCACTCTGGAGTTGGAACTTGAGGAACTGCATAGCGGGTTTGAGTATCCAACAATGCAGATATAAATCTTTCAGTTTCCTCTTCATTTCCTATGAGAAAAAAAAATTGTTTTCTTTTGATAAGTCTGAAAACATGAAAAACACTCCTATAGATTAGAAAGACACATCGAACCTCTTCCGTAAAGATATGTCCTCTGATACTATGAGTCCTATCCAGTCTCCAAAGTATATAACGTACAGCTGTATGTTATATACATACATACGTATGTCGCATGTTATGCATGCTAATTGCAATTAACATGCATTTGTATGTTCGACGAATATACTTGGTATGATCAAAACGTTTTGGGACTGAATTTTTACTTTAATGAAAACGCATTTACACAATGTTCAATGCTTGCCATCTTCAAAACACAATCCACTACTGAAGCACTACCAAGCAGTACTGAAGGCTGCCATTTTCTTTTCCCTCTACCAAAACGGATAAGCATATTTTAGAACAGATAAAAGTACTTGTGATTTTCTAATAATTTCTTCTGTTATGTGAAATTTTTACCTTCATCAAGTTCCTCCCCCCCCCCGATATTGAAAAGTAGTATGTTTTGTACCTGTATTTTGTATTTTCATACTTAGTATGTAAAACTGATTATAGAAAGCTATATGATCGTATAAACTAATTCAATCTTGGAAAAAACTTCTATTAAAAAACGTTTTTCTTTTAACAATAGTTTCAAAGCACTAAATTTGAAATAAAATATTAATCCAGAAATAAACAACATGCAGCCCAACCTCCTTTAACGTACAGTTCCCTTTAGTGTAAACTTCATGAATTCCCTAACCACTTAAGAAAGCAGAACAATGCACTCTCATTTAGCGGACATTCCCTGGAAACGGATAAAAGTCGTAGTCTGTGTCATGAAAGGTTCAGTATTATGCAGGACATGTAATGTACAGTCTGTCTATCATAAGAAAAGCTCTCACCAATTAGTCTGCAGCTGTCTATTGCCATAGATACGAGCCTTGACTCATTTTTCATAAGGGAGTCTTGAAGATTTACTTTTCACTTTGCCATCTTGGCGCATTTAAAGATGAATTGGCAACCCTTGTTTCGCCCCCATTTGAAATGTACTAGCCCTGTTGCTATAGCGACCCACAGCCGCCAGACACTGTGGCGAGCCTGTTCTTCTCGTAGACAGACAGTATTCTCTCTTTACACGATAGATACATTCTGAGCAATACTGCATCAAAAAATATGATATTGTACTAAATTTTGATCGAGAAGATGCCGCACTGTCTTATAGAAACGTCAGTCTTTTTAGTGGTTCTTACTGTGGCTTTATTGAACCTGACTTCCTAGAAACAGATGTTGGTCCTAGTCCGTTTTTAAAATAATCTAATTTTTTTTCTTAACCTCAACGAAACTGTCTTTCTGTTTCCTAGTTTTGGCGTTACCAGAGTTAATTTATGTAACAGATATAAAAAAACAAGCCACACGCACACAGATCACGCTAGACGTCTACTATGTCCAACGGAATCAGCACAATTGATTAAACTATATCGCGGAGTTTCTAACGATTTTCGCCCCTCCCACACACTTCTCTGCGTATGTTGAGTATTAAATAACTCAACATACGCAGTTTTCCATTACTTTCCTTTCACTGAAGTATTTTAAAAATCACAAACAATTATTACTATGAGAAACAATTTATTGAATAATAAAAAACTGACTTAAATGCAGTGATTGAAATGAAATTTATACCTGTATCTATCAAAGCACTTATAGTTTAATGTTATACTGAAGAGCAAGCTTTATCTGTCTGACTAAAATGTCAAGAACGCATAAAGAAAAACATATGAGTAAAAAACACATGCTCATTAAAAATTAATAAATTATATTACCAAGGGTTATTATCAACGTCTGCTGAGTTCAAACACCCAAAGGAGAAATGAAAAATGCACGGTAGTGCCATTACTGATGGGACACCCATGGAATGTAGCTTAACTGAAACTAGTATAATGCCAGTATAATACATGTCCATCATTAGTTTTCATCACAGCATAATTAATTTCTAAATTAATTTCTAAAATTATTTCTAAAATTAGAAGTGCCGAAGCCTTAATAGATAATAATTTTTATTGTGAATAAAAATTGAAAAGCTGAGACAAAAATATAATAGTAATACGTTAAAATGTACTACATTATGGTGCACAATTTCAAAGTTAGTTTTTTAAATATGGTTTTAAATAATATTTATAATATCCAGATTAAATAAATGAAAAAAAATGCATGCTTTGTTTCCTCAGCTTTAAGAGGCGGTGACAGTTACCATGGAATAAATTCGCTGAAAATTTGGAAGGTAATTTTCTTTACCTGAGCGCCCAATAAAAACATTGGTTGGGCGATAACCCCAAATACAGGGTTCAGTGTCAGTCACACTCCTTCGTCCACCTTCGAAACATAAAATCTCTGCCTGGTCTGCGAATTCGGGGACTTTCTGCAAGTATTCTCTAAAAGTTAAAAAAAAAAAAAAGTATATGAGAAGAATTAGAAAAGAAAACTTATTTCATTTTTACTAAACATTTTTCATAATGCATGCATGAAAAAAGATCATTTAAATTCTTCTAATTAACGAGTCACTACAATTCATGAATAGATAAATGTTAACAAAAAGAATATCAGCGATCCAGCAAAGAAACGAGCAATTTCGGATTGGAATAATAATAATAATAATAAAAGAGATGGCATATTCTCAGGTTATATGATTTCAACAGGATAATGTATGCTTTATGTATCATGCAGAAATAAGTACTATTTGTTACCAAGTTATTTCTGTATTTGTATTAAAATACTAGAGATAAAAACATAAAAATGGAAAAAAAAAAAAGGGGGGGAAGTACTAATTACAGATACATTCGATAGCTAATGTTATTTTATTTTTACAAGCTTTTCTGTTTTTCCGGGGGTGAGAAATGAAGAATTGAAAGAAAGGGTTTAAAACAGAAAATTACGTATGTCAAATTATCTTAAATATCTACCATACAGAAATGCAGTAATAGAGTTTTATTTTTATTCATAATATAAAAGGCTAATTATTGCGGTGTTTTATAGATTGTAAATGTCTGTCCATCACATGAATGTGTATAAAAACTGAAGTATCACATTGATTAATCTAAAGACCCGATTGAAAAAAAAAAATCATGCAGTATCTAAAGCAGAAGAGAGGATATGCTGGTGCATCATTTTTTAACTATGTGCTAAAATCACATAGTTAAAAAAAGTTCATTAGTAAAAATAGTTCACATAGTAAAAATCACATAGTTAAATCACTAAAATCAATAAGCTGGAGAG